CTTTAGGCTGACCTTTTAAGAGACAATGGGGTTACTTTTCAGCCTAAGAAAAAAAAAGGATGATAGTTGAGCCAGCGAAGGACAGGCAAGGGGAGTTGGATGAGAAAGCTTGTTCACTTAGTCGTTTGTGGTGGTGGTGGTGGGGAGTTTATTACCTTGTTTGAAATACTCTCAAATACTGTCAGAACATCAGAAACTATCAGGTACAAGCACAAAACATCTTACTATCCATGGGTGCAGTGTGTACCAAACTACTATAAAACTGTAAATAAGAAAGTTTAGAAGAGACTGTTTTCTATTATAACACATAATACTCCATATAATACTGTAATTTATAAGCTTCTGTTATATTTTTGCTGTATTTACAGTATCTCTACATTAGACTGATAATGCTTATGGGGGACTAGCTGTTTTTATCATTTTGAAAGACATTTTATATTATCCAATAGAATCCCAATAGCAAATATTTTCTGTCAAACAGAAGTTATTTAGATTCCTACCTCCTTTATTTTTTTTTTAAAAAGATTTTATTTACTATGAGAGAGAGAAAGAAAGAGTGAGAGTGCAGGGAAGGGCAGAGGGAGAGAATCTTAAGCAGACTCCCCACCGAATGCAAAGCCTGACGAGGAGCTAGATCCTAAGACCCTGAGATCAGCACCTGAGCTGAAACCAAGAGTCGGACATTTAACTGACTAGCCACCCAGGTGCCCCTCCTACCTCCTTTCTTACACACACACACACACACACACACACACAAGCACAAAAATTATATGTAATAACAACGTAAATGTAAAAAAATAGAAACTATAAAAATACAAGAAAAAAATTATATTTTTCTAATCTTGAACTTTGGATGACCTCTTGAAGCATGGACAGAAGGCAAGAATATATAGGAAACCACAGATAAATTTGACTACTTTTATAAAAATGAAAAACTGTACTCCAGTATATAATAACATTCAAAATTTGAGTTTACTTTTGTTCAACAGTGTTTTGATGGCTATTAAATAGCTTTGGAGGAGTAAACAGGTTGTGGGAGAGCAAATTCTAAGTTACTATGCACCTGCTCTTATTGTTATGTCATTCATGTCTAAAAGTTGAACGATTTACTTCAAAGGAGCTTCTGATGTAAACTTTCAGTTTCAACTTATTTCTGTGATTTTCACTAACTTATACAAACTTTTAGCTTTTTTCCTTTTAGATTTTATTTATTTATTCATGAGAGACACAGCAGGCTCCATGCAGGGAACCCTCTGTGGGACTCGATCCTGGGACTCCAGGATCACGCCCTGGGCTGAAGGCAGACGCTTAACTGCTGAGCCACCTAGGCGTCCCAGCTTTTTTCTTTAGTATTTATGCTATATAACCCTTTAAAAAATCCAATAAAGATTATCTTTAATTTGTGCATGAGAAACACAGGATTCAGAAGGCTTAAGTGTCTGCCTAAGGCCATACAGCTAGTGTGGGTCTACCAAGTGCCTATAACCGGCATGCTTAGAAATTGAGAAACACCCACCAAAATATAAAAATACCAACCCCACCACCTTGACTCAAACAAGAATCCTTGGACTTCATATGCCACATCAGTGGTAGTGTAGACAAGATATTGGGACTCTACTTGTTCATCCTCTCCAGAGTTCTGTTAACTCAGAAAATGAATTTGAGGGCAAAGGGAAAAAAGGGTATTGTAAAGTCCCATGTACCAGGCATTGTAGTTAGCACTTGATATGGATTATTTTATTCAATCTTCTTGATAGCCCTACAAATAAATATTTATAGCTACATTTTACAGGATAGGAAAACTGAGGCATTGAGAGGTTAAGTAACTTGCCCAAGGGGTCTTAGTTGAGAAGGAGTGGTACTACCCAGGTGCCGGAAATCTGGGTCAGTTTGGGTCCACTCCTCCTTATCATCTTAGAGTGGGAAAGAGTATGTAAATGGAAACATCATCTATCAGTGAATCACAGCCATTCTTTTCCATAGGTAGTTATAGGAATGTCAAGAAAATTAGTCAAAATATTTTAATTAAATGTAAATATCTAAAATGCAATTTTGCATGACATTGAAGTTTGATTGATACCCAAACATCTTAATGTTTGTCAGCTTGAGTCTTCTTAAAGCCAGGGTTGGTAAGCCATAGCCCCTGGGCCCAGTCCTGCTCACTCCCCTGGTTTAGCCCATAAGCTAAAAATGCTTCAACTTTTTTCTGTAGTGGTTGAAAAAAATTAAAAGAATATTTTGTGATATAAGAGAAGTAGATGAAATTCAAATGTCAAGGCCCATAAATAAAAGCTTTATTAAAAAGAACACAGCCAGGCTCATAGGTTTACATATTTTCTATGGCTGCTTTTGTGCTACAACTACATAGAGTTGAGAAGTGACTTCTGTGGAGATCCTATGATCTACAAAGTCTATAAATATTTACTATCTGGGCTTCTATAGAAAAAAGTTTACTTACTCCTTTTCTATAGCATTTACACACTCAGGCACAATTTAAGTTTCTGGATTTTTTTTCCCATGACATTCTGAAACATTTTTAAGTTCATTTGTTTGTTTGTTTTCCAGAATGTACACTAGAGCAGTCTTGCTCTGAAAAAATTTTGACAGCCCGGGCTGATCTGAAATGACCCTATTAGGTTGCCGTTCCAGTGCCTAGTGGTCCAGTTTGTGAGGCCCTGCCTTAATTCATCTCTTAAATACATTAGTGTTTGTTATCTCTAGGTGGCAAAGCTGGGTCTTACTACCCAACCTGTCCTTCCGTTACTCATCTTGACTGTGTTATGGGTTCAGTTTCACAACATTATGAGTTCATCCAGGCTTCTTGAATCATTTATAGGGATTTCCACTTTTGCTCTCAAACTCTTACTTTCTCCGCTGTGAAATTTTTTAAATATAAAGTACAGAGTACTAAATGGCCTACACATGTAAAATAAAGCCCATACTTTTTATTTTTTTTTTTTAGCTTTAAGAAATCAGAATTTTTAAAAATTTCTTTTTCTTGAGAAACTAAACTTAATTTTGCAGGTCACAGAAGTAATAAAACACCTTCACATCCAAGGATCTCAAAGCACCTCTGGTGGAAATGCATAACAAGGTAAAGAACGTCTATTTATTTTTAAACATTGTTTATTTCTTGGAGGAAATACTATTTAATGGGAAAGAGGTGACTAGTAACAAATGCGACTCTAAGACTATTTCTGGTTTTGTCAATGACTCACTTTGACTTTGGGCAAATCATCTCACCACTGTTGCTCTTTATCTGCAAAAACTGGACTTCATGCCTATGGGAGTTGCATGGCTAATCAATGCCTGGAAAATGCGTAGTGGCAGATGCTACAAAAGTGCTGAGCCTTAAAAACAAAACCACCCCCACCCCCCATTTGTATTCAGTTGAGGTTGGGGTTTATTGTTATTTAACATTCGAAGGCCAACACTATGTTAAGTCCAGCGTGCTGCACAGACCAGATAATATCACTGTCCAGTAGGGATTGTTTTTTTCTTTAATCTAGGATTTTGGACTTTTTTTCTTTATTGTGGTTGGGGGTTATTTTAGAATCTAGTAGTATGTCCATACAAAGACATTAAGCTTTAAGTTGAAAACTATCGATTTGAAAATCTAAATAAACCTCCTCCTCCAAAAAAAAAAAAAAAAAAAAAAAAGGGCCCTCCCCTCCCCGCCAAGAAATCTCTCAAAACAAGAATTCCTCTGATGTTTTTTTTTTTTTTTCTCCCCCTCTCCCTGCAGTTCTCCATGTTACAGTCCTTGGAGGTAGAATAGGCATAAAATACTTTCACTAATAAAATATGACAAACCGCCGGATTATACGTGGCCGATTCCCAGTGATTGCCCTGCTACACAAAGCAGAAAAGTAAATGCCATCATCCCCCTTAGAACAAAAGAACTTAGGAATAAAAAACATGGAGAGGGGGGGAGAAAGCAGCAATAAATAAAGGTGAGGGGAGGACCCCGTCCCCCGCCCCTCCCCGACGCGAGTGTGGGACTAAGTGTGGCTAATAAAGTGGTTCAAGGGTAGTTATTTGGAAAGGGGGCGGGGTGGCGAGGGGAGGGAGCGGGCGAGCGGCGGCCGGGGATTGCATGTTGCATTCGACTTGAGGTTGCATCTTTCTCCTGTTGCCTGGACCACGCTCCCCCATTGCAGTGCTTCCCCGATGCTTCTCTCCGCTCCTGCCCTCGCGGCTTTTTCTTTTCTTTCCCCCCTTAAAACTGCTGTTGCACTGGAGGGAGTTGGGGCCGCTCCGGAGCCCCTTTGCAGCTCCTGCCGGCGGGAGGGGGGAGTTGGGCTCGGGCCGCGGAGTTGGGGGGGCCGCAGCGGGCTCCGGCCTCGCCTCGGCTGCAGCTACACGGGAGCCGAGCTGCGGCGCGGCTCGGGCCCATCATTGCGGCGGCCCGGGAGTTTGGCCGCCGCCGCTCGGAGCTCAGCCCCATCACCGCCGCCGCCGCCGCCGCCGCCGCCGCCGCCGCTGCACTGGAGTTTGGCTGCTGCTGCCCTACTTCACTCTAGTTTAGTTTCACTCACTTTACATCCGGGTTTTTTCCCTAGGCAATGGGGGCCGCAGCACACCCCGTTCCTTAGGCAAAGTGAAATAAATTCGCCGCACCGACACGTCAAGTAGTCCGCCCGCCCGAGCGCCGCCGCGGGCCCCCGCCGCCCCCCCCGCCGCCGCCCCGCCGCCCCCGGGGGGGGCCCGCGCGGCCCGGGAGCCGCGGCGGAGGCGAGGGGGCCCGGGCCGGCCGCCGTACAACTCCGCCCGGCGGCCCCCTCCCTCCCCGCCGTGCCCCTCTACCCCGGCGCCTCCTCTCCCCCCGCCCTCGTCCCCGCTTTCCCAGCCCCAGTCCCTTTCGCCCGGCTCTCGGGAGCGGCGGGGGCGCGCACGGCGGCGGCGGCGGCGGGCCGGCGGGGCCGCGCGGCGGGCTCCCGCGCGGGCGAGTGTGTCTGGGCCTGGGCGGAGGGATCCCCGGGCTGAGGCGGCGGAGGTGCTGCGGCCCGGGGCCGGGTGGTGAATGGGCTGGTGGTGCTCGCTGCTGCTGCTGAGAGGAGGAGGAGGAGGATGAAGAGTTGGGCTTGTTTGTCTCCCACAGTTTCTCTCCTGCTGCTCTGATTCCCCCCCACCCCGATTCCGGCCCGGGGCCTGTGTGTGTCTCTCCTGGAGGAGGAGGAGGATCCAGTTCCTCCCCCCACCCCCTCCTCCCCACCCCCCCTTGCCTGGGGAAGAGGAGGAAAGAAACAGCCCAGAGAGAGAGAGAGAGAGAGAGAGAGAGAGAGAGGGAGAGTGAGTGAGTGAGTGAGAGAGAGAGGAGAGGAGAGGAGGAGGAGGAGGAGGGAGAAGGGAACAACCTACCATCTTAACACACTAATATCTAAAAAGTGCGAGAGGCCCAGAGCAGCAGCAGAAGCAGCAGCAGCAGCTCCAGCTTCTTCCCTCCCTCCCCATGAAGAAGAGTTCCCTCCTCCTCCTCCTCCTGCTTCTCCTGCTCAGAGTTCCTGCCTCCAGCTGCCAGGGGGGACAACCAGCCAGCAGCAGGAGGGTGCAGTATCCCAGCTTTTCCATTCTCTCTTCTCCTCACTCTCCTCTTTTTTTCTTGAGTAGCTCTATTTCCCCTCCCTCCCCCCTTCCCCCTCTCCCCCTCTCCCTGTCTCCCTGTCTTGTCTCTGGTGTTTGTCTCTGGGAGGAACTGGGGCTGCCTGCTTGGAGTTTGTTGTGGGGGGGGGGGAGGGAGGGGGAGGGGAGGGGTGTGTGGGAGGGAGGAGGGAAAGGGGGGGTGTTCTCGTCAGGACCCCTCAGTCAACTTGAGATTTGAGCAATAACTTCCCCTTCGGGGCGCCCCCCTGCGTGCCCTTCCTATTCCTCCCCCCCTAAAAAAAAGACAATGGAAAAACCTTGTCTCCCCCTTCCTTCCCTCTGCCCTCCACCCCTCCCCAGGATAAATTGGAAGTAAGTTTATGAGCAGCCTCGGGAGCCTGGGCGCTGAGTGCAGGGCCGGAGCGGGTGACAGAGGCGGCGCGCCGGGGGTGGCGGGGAGGGGGCGTCACATTGTCCCGGCGGGGGCCCGGGGAGGGGGGCCGCCGGCGGGGGCGGGGGGCGCGGAGCCTCGTCCGCCCCCTCGGCTGTCCCTCAGCCCGGGGATGGTCGCCTCGGCTCCCTCACCACCCTGCCCCCGCCCCCCCCCCCCGAGATGCTGTCGGGGGGAAGTTTTTATTATGATTATTTAATTAATTAATTTTTTTTTTTTTTTTTTTTTTTGGAAAACCATCTTGTTTGGTGACTGAGGGATCTGGTTTAAAAAAAAAAAAAAAGCTGCGGCTGCTGACGCTGCCGGGCCCGAGTGTGTGTGTGTGTGTGTGTGTGTGTGTGTGTGTGTTGGTGCATTTGTCTTGGGTGGCCGGAGCAGCGTTGGGGAAATTCCGCTTATTCTTCTTCTTCTGCAACTTGTTATTCCGGAGAGTCTGCCTGCACCCCTCACCCCGGGGCCGGCCCTCCCGCACTCGCCCCCGCCGCCCGCGGCCGCGGGGCGCCCCCGGGACCCCGCGCGGGCCGAGGCCGGCAGGCCGCTCCGAGAGGGGCCGCGGCCGCCCCTCCCCCGCCCGCGCCCCCGCCGGGGGGAGGGGCGCGCGGAGTGGGACTCTTTCCGTTTGGTCCAGCCCCGTCGTGCACGCAGTTCCCAACACTTCTCGTCATCCTCTCTCTTTGGTCTCTTTATTCTGCTGAGCGGTGCTGTTAGGATTTCTTTTTTTTCCCCTGACCACGTTCGCGATGGTGGGTAGCAGCAAGGTGGCCCCGGTAGGGGAGGGGTTGATATCGAGATTGGGCACCGGGGGGAGGAATGTCTCGTTTCAACTTTGTCTGTGGCTTGCACCCCCGGAGAAGGCCACACGCCGGTTGTAGGGTGCAGATGTGCTGAGAGTGATTTCTAAGTAGTTGAGTTGTTGAGATGAGGGTATGACTGCTAATGGCAGGCAGGTTTTGTTTTCATTGGTGAATCTGGTGTCATCATATTCGGGGCATATGTTGAAATATTCTTTGTTTAGGTCTTGAAGTAGAGGATCTCACTCTGCACGTCCACATTGTGTTGTTTTTAAATGATGTCTGCAAGTGTGGCTTTCTAGAATTTCAAATGGGAGTTAAGGTCCGGGCGTGTGTGGGCCTCAGCATTGGCCTTGACAGTGAACTTTGTGGCTGTGTTTTTGGATTTCAGAGATTTGCCCCATAGCTGGGGTGTGAGCTGTGCATTTTTTGTTAATAGTAAGTGTCAGGAATGTGGATGCTTAAGCTGGGGACGGTAAAGAGAGAACATTCCTGTATTAATAATTGATAGCTGAATATTAGAATCAGATTAATTTGGGTTGATGAAAGTTTTTTTTTTTTTTTTTTTTTTTTTTTTTTTTTTTAAAGCAGCTGTGCACTCTAGGAAGGAAGGCTTTACATAGGCATACTTTATAGGGGTTCTTTAGGGCAGGGAGCTGGAGTATCTCCTTTGAGAGAGGATACTCATCAACATCTCTGGCTTCATTGAAGGCCTGGTAAAGGGCCTGACATTGGGGCTAAGACATCCAAGTGTACTTTTCACTGTTTATGTTGTTTGTTTACATCTGGTGTTTCTCACATTTGGTCACTAGAAATAAATAGGTCAATTTTTCTTTTGGTTTTTGAAGAGTAGCCCCCCCCCCTTTTTTTTTAAGTTTCTTGATTTACTTGGTTTCACAGCATTGTAGGAAACTGTTACTACATTTTTACTGGAAATACTATTTTTCATTTTGATTTTGGTAAGTTCCTTTCTATTTTTTTCTATCTTTACTTGTATATGGAATCTACATTGTGGGCTTAAAACTAGCTAATTAGGGGCTATTTAAAATGTCTGAAGAATACATTTTAATATATCAGGACATACTTGATGGCAAAGAGGAAATTTTTGTGTGCAGTTTGCTCTTGTTTATAAAAAATTTCTATACTTAAAACTTCTGTAGATAGACAACTATCCTTAAAAGGAGCATAGTAATAGTGCAGAAAATTCTCTAATGCAAACTTCTGACTAATGTGTTAAAAATATTCCAGGTGCTTTTCTTTATGTTAGACTTTTGCTTTTGTTAACGTAATGGTATTTGCAATATGACTGGCATTGCTTGGCTGGCCGTAATAAAGTCTTTTGCTTGAGTGCTTTGAAGGCTTTTTAAAGTAGTTTTTAGATAATTTTGCAAGCTTTATTTAAGCATGTTGTACTTTGGACTCAGGCAGGTCTTATGGAACCAGAATAGTAATAGATTAAAAAGATTCCTACCTACGCCAGATTTTATTAAGAGGTATAAGTGATGGATGGGGCCCTATTTCTTTTAGCTTTGAAGGGTCCATCCTTTTTCCCATTCAATCATCCAGAAGGAGCTGCCTCAGAAATACTCTTCTTCTGCTTACATGAAGAACTCTAAATGCTATCCAGCAGGAGGTGCTACAGCAAGATAAAGCAAATCTGAATTTTGAGGGCCTTGCTACTTATTACAGCTCTATTAGCTTCGACTAAGCAACAGGATTAACGCCTTAAAGTTCCAGAAAGATTTTGAGTAAGTCCATTTAAAAGTCCATTAATAAATTACATTTGCTATTTGAAACTGAAATCTTTGATTGCTTTTTACCTGCTTGCCGTATTTACCTGAAGTAGATTTGTTATTGTGGATAGTTTAAGAATGCTACGCTTAGGCACAGAGTGCTGTTAGAATTATTTTATTTTGATGAAGAGTTATCTTGTATTGGTGAGTGGGGTGTTGAACAGATTATGCGTAATGGCTATAAACAAAAGAAATTGGTATGACTTGGGGCTTTAGGTTTTGTGTCATCCCTATAATATTAAGACAGATAGGATATGGAGATACAAGACTTTGGAAAGGAAGATACTGTATGGGAAAAAATTTAATTTCTTGTGTTTTTTTCCCTCACAATTATGGTCAGTGACCCTAATAGATAAATTCTTATGCACTTAGCTTTATAAATACATATGGTTGATATATTTGAGTTGGTCTCCAAAGACTGAGATTCTTGAACTGTAAGTAAAGTTGTATCTGTGAGTACAGGTCATTGTTGATATGTCTGTTAGTAACACTTAACAATAACTGCATAAAGATGAAAGTAGTTTCATAGCATTTACAGCACATGCCCCTTTGAAGCTCTATTAGTGTTAGGTGAATTGATTTATCCCTGGGAATATCATGCTACTGTGATGGCTTGTAAAGTTTATATCAAAGTTTTAGAAACTTAGGAATGTGTAGAAAATTTGAAGAAGCTGCTTTGAATTTTGTCGGTTTTCTAGGCATAATACTATACTTTTTTCTCAGTAAGATCGACTGAGATAATACATGTGAAGGTTCTTTGTAAATTGTTAGAAGCCGTGCAGATGTTGAGATAGGTAACTAAATACATGGACAGAAATTTCTATCTTTAAAATACTAACTTTCTCCACATCATTTTGGAAATGAGCACCTTACAAGTGTACCCCCAACAAGTGATGAATTTTTTTTTTTAATGCTACTGTGGTTACCAAAAAGCTCTTTGTTTAAAAAATGCTGTGGAGGCAGTTTCTCATAATTCAAAAAAAAATTTTTTTTTTTTGTGTGTGTGTAGATCCTATGAAATGTGTATCCCCCATTAAAATTTTTTTTCATTTCTTCATTGATGTGATAGTAGCTGATTTTAGTGAATATTTAAGTTTCAGGATTCTTCTATAGACTCTCATTAACACACAGAGTAACAGATGTCACAGTTAAGGTTTTGATTGTTTTGAGTGATTCTGTTAACTTTCTGAAAAATTCTTACTAACTAAAGCTTTCAAGCTTGTTTCAAAGTGAAAAAGATGTATAACTGTATTTATTAGTATTAGGTACACGTGTATGTCATTTTATTTTATTTTTTTTTTAGAGGGATGCATGAGGAAATCACTACTCAAATCTAGAGGAGTGCACTGAAACATTTTTGTGTAAAAATAACGCAAAAGTTTAAAACTCAGAGCCTTGATTTGGGGCTTTTCTGATAGACTCTGCTCACAAATTTGGACTAAAACAAAATAAAATATAGTTAATTGGGAGTCCCTGTGTTTATGAGCATATCAAAAGGTTTAGTATCTTAATATTTTAGAAGCTAATGCTCTTTATGAAATAGCCCCTTTAATTAGAAATTAAATATAGAAACTTATTTCTGTGTGAAGTGAGAAAAACATTTAACTGTTTAAATAAAAATGAAACCTCTTAGGATAGTATTAACTTTTTCATCCTTCAGACATTGTTTTTTGTTTTGTATTGTTTTGTTTTTTGAGGAAATACGGAAGTTAAGGTTATAGTAATGTGCCTTTAAGTTTTGTATTCTTGGTATTTTATTGCTGAAAGCTTTTGTATTTAATTGCTATTCCAAGGGAGAAAAGGAAGGGATTAAAGTTTTAGGGCTCTAACCTTTGACAGAATTCCTTTATTTCTGTATTTGGACCTGATTTCTTGAAATATGTTTGAATCTTCATGTTACTTTGTGCTGGGAAATATTCACAATTTTTGTTGACTTCTCAGGAACTTTTGTACATGGCTTTTTTGTAGGCCCTAAGTATTCTTTAAGAGCGCAGCAATATATTTTGATCAGTTTAACTTTACCAGGTGTGTATTTTTGCTGTTTTTTTTAAGACAGTAATATGCTAACACTGCTTTAAGTTTATTGTATATAATTACTTTTTAAATAGCATATGTTTTCTTGTTTGTATGTGTATGTGGCTGTGTTATTTTGTAGGCTTTCGTAAAATTTTTGTGCATTAAATTTCTGGAGTTATCTTTTGTGAGAATGTTGACGTAGACTTTTAAGAATAACTTTTATTTTACTTGTCTATTGGCTCAGTGTTAAACTGGGGTGGTGGTGAACTCTTCCACCACATTTAGAGATAATATGTGAGATTCAGTCAACCTTTGGGTTTTCTATAGCAACTTTCTCACACTAGAAACTTGTGTGGCAGTTTGAATACCCCTCCGCTTCTCTCCTTCCAATACATTGCAAGGCCTCCCCCGTTTAAAAAAAAAATAGTGTGCAGGTCTGTTGAAGGAAACTATTCCTATCTATATTTTGGAATCATGTATAGAAATGTTTTCTGCTTTTTTAAATAGACAAAAAAGTGAACCAGTAATACGGAGATAGGAAGGGGATGGGGCCTAACAGGTTGGTGATCTAGGCTTTATTTTGATTCTGTTTGTAGGCCTAGGGGACAAAAAATAACTTAAACACAGAAGCCAAAAAGATGGGTTTTGTTTTATTGTTTTGGCTGCATTGAGAATACAAACTGTCAGTACTCGAGGAGAAGGAGCAGCAGAAAGGAATTGATTTTTTTCTGCTGCAGATCCAAGTATTGTTAACCATGTGCATCTCTAAAGCAGCATGCTTACAAATCAAATAGTAGTTGATTCTTTCACTCAATTAACAGTCAGACCCTAGATTGTTTTTTTTTCCAGATTTTAAATAAGTACCAAAAACTTCAGAGTAATGACAATAATTTCCTGATAAAAGTGGGTGATAGTAACCATGGCAACTGCTATCTGGCCTTATGGACAGTATGTTGTATTGATGAAGCTTCAGATCCTGTAGTAGCCTGTCACTTTTATGGTGAAATGTAGTAACATGTGTTGCAGGTGATTTTTAGCTGGATTGTGTTAAATTTGTGTGCCAGCTTATCTTTCCTTGTTAGGAATTTCTTGGACTGTATTCCACAGCATGTTTGTGAAGGTGCTGTTGCCTGAAAATAACCCACCACCTGTGTTAGGCCTCCTGATGCAGATTGCACTTAGTTCTTTCCCAGCCTCCTTCCTTAGTCTTGCAGAAGTAGGGGTGTGTGTAGAAACTGTATATACATAAATAACAGCTCAAAGTTATCTATTTGGACATGTTATTGATAGTTTAAAAAAATCTCTTTGTTTTTAGAGGAGGTCAGTGGATGAGAGAAATGGATCTCATTTCTATTTTTTTCTAAGTCTTTCTGGCAACGTGTGTGTGTGTGTGTGTGTGTAAGAGAGAGAGAGAGAGAGAGAGAAATGAGGGGTTAGGAGTAGAGGGCATAAATATTGAGTAAGGACTTGACAAAAGAGAAACTTAAGTATTACTGTTTTTGTGTGTGTGATGGTGTTATGTGTGTAAAAATACAAGAATATTTTTCCTAGTAGACATTATTAGAGTATGGGAAATGTTTTTGTATGAGAATTTCCAGGAAGAAAAATTATTTATAAAATATAACTTGAAAGACTGTCAAGAGAAAATCTGGTAAAACAATTAAAACTTTCTTGGGGAAGGGAATAGGGAGCTTTGAAACTGATCCAACCAAACTTTAAATAAACGGCTCTAAAAATGATGTTTTAAAAAATAATTTTAAAATTTTATAAAACTTTTTGCTTTTTAAGCATTTCTTTTATATACTTATCCTGTGTCAGTTTTTTCTGACGTGAAAATGTTGATGTAAATATTCATTGATACTTTTTCCAGTACGTGCTAAGGAAATTGCCAGAGCAGAAAGCAAATAGATTCGATCTGAATTTTACTAGGCCCTGATAATAAGATCTAGTCAAATTGTGCTTAGATAGTTCAGACTTTCTTAAAACTTGCTGTGATAGGGTGAAGTGGTTTACTTACTACAATTCCCAGGATGCATTTCGGGCTTTTGCTTAACTCCGGATTAGAGCGTTGCATGCTGGGACTTGTAGTTGATTTAAACAGCACAGAGAACCCTTTCCTCTTGTCTACTCCATTTTATACAAACAGCTTCCCAAGCCTCTTAAGAACTTTCTGCTAAGTAAAATTTGATTGCTAATATTATGATTATCATGGTGCTGGTATTCTAAAGTGAGTCTTCAGAAACACCCTAGTGTTTTAGTTTACCTTGGAATAGTTTTTTTTTTTATCAGCTACTATAAGATTTACATGTAAAGTAACTGATACATGTGTATATATGTTTGTGTTTATATATTTAAAACTTAGCAGTTGTAAGTTTTTTTTTGTCTGTGCTGCTATAGATCACTTTATAATTATAGCATATAGATTGCCAATATGGGCATTAGGAGCTTATTATTGTAGGGCCTGGTATATGTGCTATTCTCTTTTCTTTGAATGGGGCCCGTTACTCAGTGCCCATATTTAAGTTTAAAGGTTTTTAAAAAATTATTTTGTAATAATTGTCAAAATCTTGAATCTTAGTATTTTTTAAATGGAAGACAGATTCCTGAAAGTAGATGTAGTTTCAGTGTAAATTTAATACTCAAAGATGTCATCTGAAAGGTAGAGGGGGAAAAAGAATGAAAGGTAGAGGGAGAGGTAAGGTTTCTTTAATAATTTGTTTATATTTTCATTTGTAAAATTTAAATTTCTGTTTCTATTCTTTAAAGTTCTGATACTTTATTAATGAATGTCAGAATGTTGTTGCAGGGATTAAATGTCGAAATCTGTGAAAGTACTTAGCACCGTGCCTGGCACATAATAAAGTCTCAGTAAATGTTTAGAATTAGCAGCAGCAGTAGTAATAGTGGTTCCTGTCATTAAATAAATAGCGTGCTTCACA